CTGCCACATGTTGCTACCTCAAGTTTTTGGTTATGAATCTGATGGTTTCTTTCAGGACTAAAAGACAAATATTGTCAGTTCAAGGGCTAGGGATGTAGTTCAGTGGTAGAGCACTCTAGCATGTGCGAGGCTCTGGGTTCAATTCTTAGCACTACTAAAAAACAAACAAAAAACCCTCATCCCAACTTGGCTAGGTGTGGTGGTGCACAGCTGTAATCCCAGCAGGCTGAGACAGGAAGATGTAAAGTTCAAAGTCAGCCTGGGCTACACAGAGTCCTTGAGCCCACCTCAACAATCTGGATGGACTGTGTCTGCAGGTCACTCACAGTCCAGCATTTCCACACAACTAGACTTTCTGAATCAAAGTAAGAACACTAAAATTTGGTTAGACACATAGAGAATAGATCAAAGAGAATATGTTTCATATGATTAAGAGGTTAAGTAACTGTGGTAACAGGAAGAGAAAGTGACATAAAACTTTTGACCAGGAGGTCTGGACAGTCATGAAGAGCATGGAACTGACCATGTAAGTGAGAGCTATCAGGTGACTTTAGAGATTTAAGAAGGTTCTTGGGCATTCTACTCTGATATATTTCCTCTGTACCAAGTTAGATAAAAGAGAGCAGACCCCAGCCCTAGGATGAAGGTAACCAAGACATTTTAGTGGAACAAGGCCACAATGCTATGCCACATGCATGGCCTGATGCCTACTTGGAAGTGAGAGAGTTCACCAAAATTCAAGGGACAGAGGCAGATACCTCTTCAGGCCTCTGTTTTCAGGGTGCTGGCCCCTGGGTGCCCAGATATTTTTCCATTACCAATGACTGAAACTATCATTATCCTAAAGCAAACACACCAAGTTGTACAGAGTAGATCATATCTCAATCCTTGTATTTCTTTGTACGGTTTGCCTTGAGGGCTTATATTCCTTCCTACTTAATCAGCCTGGAACTGGAAGAGGTCTTTAATGCAAGAGCAGCTGCCACAGGCTTCCTTCCCTTCAGAGCAATGGCTATAGGTCTCATTCAGAAGAGTCTGCTAGATGGGGCATGCTGTGCAGCTTCACGTTCCTGCCCGGCTGAAGGGTGCCCTGTTACTGCTGCCATTTATCATCTTCTGTACAAAGTCACGTGCAACCCCCCACCCCAAGCTTGTTATCAGTCACTTCATTTCTGTTACAAAGGGACAAGAAGGGAAAGTAGTTAAGTACAAGTGTCCTGAAGGGCACTACCTTTTAGTACACTGACCTGGACTGAGAAAATGAGGAGTGGTACTTTGAGAAGTTGCCAAAGTCTATATTAAAAGGAGAAAGGGAAGGAAGAGAAAGGTGGTTTCTGATACCTGCTTACTTCCTGATTCTCTCTCAGCTCCCAATAATACTTAGGAGGCAGAGTGAGTGGCACTCAGGTCATTTGCAAAAACAGATTAGCTCTGATGCAGACTGGAAAGTGTTTTCTGCACAGTACGAATTTAAACTTTACTTAGTCTTTTTCCTTTGGGTCTCAGATAATTTTGTTTTTAAAAGTCATGTCACCTGGGTTAATATTCCAGAACATGGTTTTCATCTTGGCCCCAGGAGACCTGCAGGCAAGGCCTGGCCCAGTCAGCCCCCTATCTTGGGAAAGCAGGGCAGGAAGAGCGGATAGGAGTGGCAGACGTTGCTGAGTACGGCTGGGGCCATCTGCACTACTGTGAATCAAGGTTGGTTCAGACAGAAGGCGCGAGGGAGGAGGTGCAGCTGCTGATGGCTCAGACAGCTTGGACCTGTCCAGGCAAACAAGCCGCTCAAGTGCAATGACAGCCGGCCAAGTAGGCAGAGCACGAATAAGGACTTAAAGCTTGAAATATCTGACAAGATATGGAGGGAGGGTAGGAAGCTGTCTGGGGTTTCAACTGGTGCCTGGCTTTGCCTCTCACTGGTATGGCAGGCTTTTCTGCTACCAATGGGTGGGAACTGGGGGTGTACATAGGCAAGCATTCCTTGAGCTGGGATTTAAAATGGTCATTCTGAGATCAAATTGCAAAGGCAGCTCTGGATTGATCTTCCTCATCAGTATCCTCCCAAATAAGATGGAGCCCTTTTCCACAGATGTATCTATTTTCCTTCTTTATGACCAGGATTAAGAAGCAGTGGGCTGTGCGTGTGCATGCCATGCCACCAGCTGTACAGTATGGGAGTGTCTCACAATTAGTTGAGGAGGGACATGGGTCCTCTGTGGGTTAGTTTCTCCTAGTGAAGACTCTGGAGGCAATGTTCCTTGGCTCCAGATGCATACTAGCAGCACTGAGGAAACTGTCAGATACTAGTATTTATTAGACTCTAGGCTGCACAGCAATCTCTAGAGGTGGTGATGGGACTTTCTTATTTTAAAACACACCCAGGAGACTAGAGAGCTATGCTCTAGACTTGAGAAGAAGGCAGGAAGAATCTGGTCAGACTGGTTTCTGACAGCCAGGACCATGCTACCATTAGTTCCAGAAGCACTTGTCCATGGTAAGCACTTGTTCTGCTTAAGCTGAGCAACTGCACAGAGCTTCCTTACAGTTCAGGAGTCACTGCCAAGAGACCTGGCCAGGTGACAAGGACTCTCTGGCCCAGAAAAACAGGGAAAACCCCCCTCCAAATACATCACCCTCCTCAGAGGCCCAGGTAAGTAAGGAGAGAAGACAGATGCCTAGACCCAGGAATATCAAATGGAAAAACCAGAGAGTAAGTAAGAAGAGAACGAAACAGCATGGTTCTCTACAGTTATAACCCTCTCTACTCACTCCTAGGCTGCTCTATGGGTGATCTCAGGCAGATTGTAGATCACCCTATGGTTTAGATTCAAGAGCCCAAATCAAAGATAGACCAAATTTTAAATGTGAGGTTTTTGAACCTTAGTACAGTGGCATTCCTGGCTGTAGCCCTTCCTTGGTTTACTCTTATCAGGACAGTCCATAACTCTCCTCCTTCAGTGCCTTGTGGCAAAACAGATAAGCTTATGCTTAGGTGTTAGTCACAAAGTCCCTGGATAAAGAAGAGCTAACTGCTTGCCTCTGAATGAAGAGATGCAAAGCCAAGGTCCTAATCAAGACTGTGGTATGTAAATGCAGCATGGATGGTTCCAGCCTGAGCTCAGAGGTTCATTTAATATGGCTGTAGCAAGCTGCTGTTTGTGTCACCTGCTAAACAGCCAGAGCAAAATAGCACTTGGGAGTTGCTGGAACAATCACTGAGGATACAAATGAGTCCCCAACACATGTACATAGAGTAGAGAGCATGTGAACTCCTGGGGAAAGAAAGAAGGGGTACAAGTTTCAATCCCCCCACATCAGCAATAGCCAAATCCCACTTGGTTGAGTACTGAGTACTCCAGGGAGATGAGGATTCTCTTATGGCATGTGTCACAATGCAGTTTAAACTATCTTCTTATTTCTCTGGTGCAGCCAGAGAGGTCTTCAGGATGGGCATGCAGCATTGGCAGGGGACATGGCAGCTAAACCCCAAGGCACAACAACTCTCAGGGCTGGTTATAGTGAGGTCATTCAGTAAAAGACAATGCTGTCTCATTGGCCACTCCTCAATTCAGATTCCAGGTAAGGTCTAACTTGTTCTTTGTATCCACTCTGTCTCCCAGAGTGCACAGTGCTTATGGGAATTAACCAAAGAGATCAAGCTTATGTTATACCAAATTAAAAGCCTAAGCTAATCATCCAGGGTATGGGCATCCAAATTTAATATGTTAAATTAGTGGTTCTTAACCTTAATTGTACATTAGAATCATCTAGGAGCTTTAAAATATTTGAAAAATTGGAAACACTGAAAACAGATCAGTAGTGACCTCCCATATATATACTCATCATCTAGATTCAGCAATTACCAAAGCTGACATTTTTGTTTTATTTATCCCCCTGTCCTTTTCTGAAATATTTTCAAGTATATCCTAGACATGGTATTATTTCAATCTTACATACTTCAGTATACATCTCTAAAAAATTGTGGTCATTTTCTTACATAACCACAATGCCATTATTATACCTACCAAAATTAAAAAAGTATCTCTTGTTTTCAGCTAATACACCTGGGAAACTTAAAATAAAAAGCTGGTGCATGATGAGCCAAAATCTTTGGCGGGAGCTCCCTGCTCTGTGCCTTCAGTATGTTACCACGGTTAAGAACCACTGCCTTGATCAATTCGGGATCCTGCCTGTGGGATCTGAAATAAGTTCTGTGAATGTCCTTTAGCCTTGGATCACACAGTACATGATTAAAAAAAAAAGCACAAAGGAAAATATGACATATCATAGACAGGATGAAGAAAAAGAAAACAAAAGCATAAAAAGTCAGCAAGCCACAGCATAGAATCCCTTGTATATTACAAGGCTGCCTTCTGCTCAGGAATTGAGGTACACTCACTTGATGCATCAGATTCATCTAAGGCCTGAGTGGCTTGGAAAGAAGGTGGTTCCCAGCTGCCCAAGCTACCTGTAGAACCCTTAGCAACTCTACACTAGCCCAGTCTGCATTATTCCTCTTTTCTATTTCCAGCTCTTTTTGCTTCTGTACATGAAGTCTCTCTGGCCTAATATTCTGGCAAACTCTGAGCCTCAGCACCTGGGTCTTAGGAAGGATTAATTACATAGGTTGCACCAAAACTTCTTGGGTGTTGGCACTGGGATGTAGGTACTACACTCTCCAGTTTTACTTATTTATTTCATTTAAGAAAATAACTAAACAAAACATCCTGCAAAAAGATGAGGTTGTATCACTGCAGATAAAAATACCTCCAGTGAGGGCGTCCACACACCAGCTCCTCAATTAGAGATGCTATAGGGCCCTTTGTGAGCTGTGCAGTGTTGGCAGTTCCACAGGGGCTCTAGGAGGCTGGGGACAATCCCTGGAGCAGTGACTTGCTACGGCTGGGTGGAGGGGGACTGGCAAACAGCCACTGAGCTAGCATAGAGACCTGCATACTTCAGATAACTTCTATACCGCTCTTGCTTCTTGGACCCACTAGCCAAGCAAAGAACAGGACAAACTGGCATCTCCATTCTTGATTCCCCTGAGGTTCACATGAGTACCATAACCAGAAGAGGCAGCAGTGCCCTTCAACTGGGCTCAGGGTGTCTGTGGTACTGGACAACAACTTGCAGTTGTGCATCAGTGGTAAGTAGACCCAAGTGGGGGTCTTGGTGGTGGGGGTGCTCAAACAAGGCTGCTATCAATGCAAACTGACATCTAAAGGGGGACACTATGTGAAGGCAAAGGGCTCCACAGTTCTTTCTCTGGATTTCTTTTTTTTTTTTTTTTTTACATCATCTTAGTGCATACAGAAGTCCAACACATTCATTTTTACTAAGGAAGAAGAAGCCTCAGGAGGTGAAGTGATTTTTGTCAAGTTTGTAGAGTTGGCAAGTGGAGGAGTCAGGACTTTACAACAGGATTTCTGACTACAAGTACAGCATTTTGTTCCAGTATACTGTGTCACCCTAATGAGCAGATTCAAAGTTGAAAGAACTATGGGACCTGGGCATGATGGTACATGCCTGTGATCCCAGCTACTGGGAGGCAGGAGCAAGAGGATTGCCAGTTCAAGGCCAGTCCAGGTAAAGTTAGAGAGATCCTTTGGGAATGCAAGGGAGACTCAGCAACCAAATAAGGTGTTCCATGGGAAAAGAGACAATTCTGAGTATGGTCTTTAGCCAGAGACCTAATGCCATTCCTTGTTTTCCATCTGGTAGAGCAGAAACTCCTGGTATTAGCTTGATTAGGGACTCTCAGGAGAAAAGGGACCCAAGACAGGGCAAGGCTTATTTGATTCAGGCATTGACCCTCTTCCTTATTTCTTGGCATTAAAGAATTTGGAAGCTCAAGTTATGAGCATGAGAAATAAGGAGGAACAAAAGTATTGAAAAAACATACCCAGTGGTATGGAAGGACAAATTTGTTCAGGAAGAAGGGTGCAATACAGACCTCACATTTCTAGAATGTTTAGTATGGACCTGTGCTGATCTAAAGTCCTGCACTACCCAACATAATGGCCAACAGCCACATGTGGCTATTAAAATTAAAATTTATTAGGGATTCTGTTTCTCAATTGCACTAACCACATTTAATATGCTCAATATCTGCTGTGACCAGTGGCCACTGTATTGGACAGCACAGGCTGACTGTAGTTATCATCTAGAGGGTTTCATAATTTACTCTCCAGTAACCCACTAAACCTTGGATGGCAAAGAAGCAAAGAGGAACTGGACACACCCATGCAGTAGGCTCCCCAGCTATCCTTGTCTATCCTTTTCACAGCTACTCTGACCTCTGCATATTTTATTCAGTTTCTATTTTATGCTGTTTTAATATAGCTTAACTCTGTGTGGTGTTCCAAGCCCCTTGCCAGGGGGCCGCTCATAGGCAGAGGCACAATAAATAGCAATCCCCAGAAAATTATGCCCTGTATCAAAGCTGTCATTGCACCATATAAATGCTTATTAGTACTATTGAATTTTCCAGCCCTGACACCTCCCTGTGTTTACTAGGTAGCAGATAAACCTCCATGTTTGTGCCTTCTCTACTCTACCACATCATCAGGACTAAATATAGCCTGTGTGTATATGTTGAGCTCCATTAGCTATGCTTTGAAAAGGGGAAAAAAAATCAGTTAATAAAATTAAATTGCTGGAGAATGTGATTTGTTCTTCCCCCATTTGACAATCCTTTCAAAGACAAATAGAAGCCACTGCTGACAAGATGGGGAGCCAGTCTCAGCTACAGGATGGGAAAAAGTTTCAGACACTGACAGCACCACACAGCTTCCCAGCCAGCCTCCTGTGTAGATGGTGCATGTCCTTGAACACAGGATACAGGGATAGGGATGGCACTGTGGTCCACCTTGTGCCAGAAGTTGAAAGGCATTCCCAGCCTAGGCAATTTAATCTTCTTTCAGTATTCCAATGAAAACCCAAACAAAACAATGCAACCACCCAACCCCCAAAAAAAGAAGAAGAAAGAAAATACCCTCAACTTAAAAGTTTAGCATTCTTGATTATTTACGTTGGGCTCATGTCAAGCTGTTTTTGGCATGAATGATAACTTTTCTACAACTGCATATCAGAAAAAGCAATGGAAAATTTGAAGTCTCAGACACTTGTTAACTCTCCCCCATCTCCCAATCTAGCATGCCTTCTGACATTATGTGCAGTTATCTCTTCACTGCTATTGAGACAGAGTCTCCTGCAGAACCCCAAGGCCCTGCTGACTTTTCTGGACTTAGTACCCTGTCCTTTTCTCATGAAAATAATGCAGTTTGAAGAGAATTCTCTTGTTTACTTCTTCTGGCTGCCTCAGTCACTTAACACCCAACTCTGTAGGCACCACTGTCATACTCTCACATTATCACTTGTACTTCAACTGGATGATTAAGTGGTGGTGCCTGGTATCTGAAAGACACTATACAGGCGTAAAGGTAAAAGTCACACAGTGGGAATGTTGAGATTTGAGCTCTACCTTGAATTTACTATATGAATGTGCCCAAGTGATTAACTTCTTCATGCCTCAGATGTCTTAACTGCTGGGAAATGTTTGGCTTTGAATATATAGCCTCCAGAGCCATTCTCGCTATAAAGTATTCCATGTTGGTGTTATGAAGGTGTATGTTCTAGTCCTTGGAACTGAATGGCTCATCCTTACATTCTATTTATAATCTTTTTAAAATTGTTGCCTTCAGTGCTCTATAGAGAAATGTAGATTTCTATTCTAAATTCTTCTAACCAACAAAGGAAATGCTCTATTTTAGTTTATTTGACAGAAATGTTTATAACAAGATTGAATTTATTTTGCTTTGCCTTCTTCCATTTTTGCCTTAAAAAGGAGTTTCTAAAAAACCAGAAATGCTTTCTGTATTCTGGCATAGCAAGAATGAGGCTGCCTTGGCTGGAGGAAGAAGATGGTTACCTCAAGCCCCAGTGGAGCAGGACTGTTTGCCATCTGCTGCACTAGTCACCTTGTCTCCAAATCAGGCCCAGTCTGTAGTTTGCTGCAAGTATTAGGAGCCAAGCCACTAGCACTTCCCACCTATGGCAAGCCTTGACCCTTTGTAATGTGGCTGCCAAGATGATGTTATAAGTAGGGGGCTACTTTCCAGCTTAGGAGAAAAATGTGCATTATAAGGAAATAGTCTTTTTCTCTTGTCATCCCCAGCCATTTTTAAGGCTTTAGACTAAAAAGAAAAGTTGTCCAACAAAGCTGAGGAAGATGATGGAATTGTCACTTCCCTTGCCACACCCATGCAGGATAGAATGGTTTATTAATGATCCACGGGACAAGAACAATCATTGTGCTGGCAGCTTCACATGTAATTAACCAGCTTCACAGATAGCTGGCGGCTGCCTCCAGATCTACCATCTGCAGATTGCAGAGCTACCTGACATAGTGATCCTGGGTTTTTAAGTGAAATCTCCATACTAGGAGAGAGACATCCAACATAGTAACCTCAACCTACTGGGCACTCAGGAAACATGACGGAGTGGCAGTGCTTCTGGCAGTATGCTTTGGCTGACATGAAAGACTGGGACTCCTGAAGGCAATGACCAGCTCTGGGAAGCACCATTACCACTGATCAACATTAACTGCAGACTCAGGTAAGTGGCCAAGCAAGGTTATCGTCCAGGTAGCCATGCAAATACTATGTCTTCTTCACAGCTCTACACAGGCAGTTTTTTCTGGGAACTGGTTTACTTTGCTCCACGGCAGTGCTTCAGCACTGACCATGCTGGGTATGGTGGTGTTACTTCTGGGTAAGAAGCAACAAAATTCAAATTCTGATACATAAGATATAGCAGCTGGGTTAGCCAAGCTTTGGCTTGGTAGTCAGTGCTAACTTTCCTTTTAAGAGTCCTGGGATTCAGCAGGCTGGGCATGGTAGCTCATGCTTATAATCTCAGGTACTTGGGAGGTGGATATCAGTAGGATCATGATTTCAGGCTAGCCTGGGCAAAAAGTTAGTGAGACCCCCCATCTCAACAAATGAGCCAGTGGCACACTCTGTAATCCGAGCTACATGGTAGGTGTAGATAGGAGGATGGTGGTCTGAGGCTGGTCTGGGCAAAAAGTGTAAGGCTGTATCTGAAAATGTGAAAAATAACTGAAACCAAAAGGGCTTGAAATGAGGCTCAACTGGTAAGAGTGCTTGGCTAGCAAGTATAAGGACCTGAAAAATAAAAAGAGTAAGGTCCCGGGATTCAAAGAACCCTGGTCTTCCCCTGAGTGAGTGAATTAATAAAGTTGTCCCCCATCCATCTTTCCCAAGTGAGTGAGAACATATTCATGGTGAGGGTGAACAAACAAAACACACACACGCACTTATTTCTAGGGCAGAGAGAGAAGCTCATAAGAACTGTCTATTCCTTAGGGCACTTGCCTAGCAAGAAAATTGGAACTGAGTTGAAACTCCAATATATCACTTCCCCCACCCCAAAGAATTGTCTCCATATTTATCTCTAGTTGAACATAGAACCCTAAACACAAGAACTCTTTGTTCATGCCCCAACCCCACGTAGGCCCAATCCTAGCATGTCACATTCTTCCAGGGTGAGCCAGTTATTACTGGAAGCCCACAGATGAATGAAAAACCTTTGCATCTTCAGCAAAACAGAGCCAGTTCACAGGTGTTATAGCCTTTTCACTTACCACTTAATTTACATTCTGTGCAAAAACAGGTAATAAAAGAATATTGTGCCCTTTAGAAAAATGGGAGATGAAGTGCCGCAATGTCCATCAATGGATAATACATCATCTATTCTGTACAGTACGGCACATGTGGTGAGTCCCCCAGACAAATCAGAGTCAAAGAACAAGTTCTATAGTAATTTTCTTGTTCCTTACTTATGGTCTCCTTCTTTACCCAGCTTTGATTACATGAGCCAAACACAGTGATTCTCCATTGAGACAGCCTGGAAACAATCCCAATCATAGATCAGCAAACCAACAGGGAGGAGAGGTCATTAGTGGCTTAGGAGGAAATGGATAGCTCATGATAAATGAATTGGTATTGCCTGTCATTTTTCCTTGTCATCACTTTAATCAATAAGGGAAAAGGTGAATTGCTATTGATCTCTGCAATACCTCTGAACGATACTGTACAAATTACAGAAACACACAGGGGCAAGTGAAAGAATGAAAAGAGGAAGGACAAATAAAATAAAGTCTGGGCAATACAGGGCTACTGTATTTCCCCAGAGGGGGTCTTTAGGTCACTGAGTGTCAGGCGTGCTGAGTGCCCTTGTGAATGTGTCATGAAGAGCTCTTCTTCACGCTTGCAAGGGCTGGCCATAGAGAGCATCTCAGTGCCTCCATTCTCACTTCACATGTCCCCATGCTGCAGCAGGACTACAGGGCGTGGGAAGCCACAGGGCTGCCCTTGACACAAGGCTAGAAGCCTACACACTGAGATGTGCTAGGGATCCCAAGGTCACATTACTTTCTGAAGTTGCCATACTTTAGAGGTACTGGGCTGGACTATCTCAACCACTGGCTATAATTCTTGATGAAAAGCAAGAATTAAAAGCTTCAAGGAAAACCTCAAATGATATCTCACTAACCCCATATTTGGGTCACATGCTAAGAAAGTATAGATTGGCAGCAGATAAGGTGAAAACTATTTGCCTCATGCTTGATAATAACAAAGATCACGGCTCTGTGCCTTTAGGCCTGTCCTCTGAAACACTCTGGGTTAAAAGACATGGCATGAAGATCAGAGGCCTTGGTCAAGGTGTCAAAGGCCTGGCCAAAGGGAGATTGACCACACTTAGGAAAGAAGACAGATATGCAAATATGGTCTTATCCAGAGAACCAGGAAACAAGCATTAGAATAGATAAGCATAACAACCCGTAACAGGAAGATGCAACATTTAGTGTCTGATTTTCATCTTCAACTCACACAAACAGGACTGTGAGAATGCTTAAGTCCTCGGAAACAGATTTTTAGGCTATGATGCTTATCAGAACCTGGTCAGTATCCTGCTTATCAGTAAAGAACAGAACTGATGGCAGATTTGATGGAATGGTGATTGGAGTTTAGCCCAATGGGGTATATATAGTATGATCACATTGCAGGGTCCCAGACTAACAGTTCTTTTATTCCATCAACTGAGCCTAATTATTCAGATGCCAGTGAGAGGAAAAAAAAATGTCTGACCAGAAAGGTCCCTTTCAAGGTCACACAACACATTCAGTGCATTACTCAACTTGGTCCTAGCTTTCCTCAGGAACCTCCCCTTCTTGCCTGGGCATTATCCTTTTAGCATTCAAGGTAGAAGAGGGCTTTATTTTGCAGATGGTGAAACCAGGGCAGGTGGTCACATATCCAGTATGAAACAAAATCCAGCCTTAAAATCTGGCATGTGAAAACAGCCAAGAACCCTTTAGGATCCTCCTGGCACTTTTGTTTAAGCAATTCTCCAGAGACCATGACTCAGGGTGTAATTATATAATTCTGGAATCAGTGACACCTCAGTTTGCCAGTATCCCCACTTTCCTCCCACAAACACCTGAAGGGCCAAAACACAGAGCAAAATAAATGCAAGTTACAAAGCTGCTGTTGTGTTGAGAGTAGAAATGCTGAGATTAGAAGGAGGAAAAACTTAAGTGCACCCTGGGTGTTTGCAGAAGGCCACGTCTGCAGCTCTTGAAGCTGATGGAGGAGCTCTCTGGCTCGCTCTGCCAGACGGGCAAGGAGACCAGCCCTTCATTCAGGAGGTGGGGCACATGACTGTGAGAGGGTGTGACAATAAGAAACTATTTAGCAAACATCAGTCTCCTCCTACAAGGAATCTTCCAATTCTAAAAGTGACCCTATTCTAAAATTACCAAGTGGCAGGTGGCCAGGTCAAAAATCCATATCCAGTCAGTGGTAATGGACTCTTTGTTGCATTTCCTCATATAAGGTTGCAGCATTGTCATAAAAACCCTGGGTCAGTGGTTTTAGATTTATGTAACTGGAGAGGTTAACAGTACCCTAGCACTATAAGCACTGCAGAGACCTGTGAAGTGGCAGACATAGTCATCTGGGATGGAAGGACCTGCTGGTCTTAGCTGTACAATCTTCCAACTCTAGCTGTACATCTAGTGCCAAGATCCTTTTCTGGCAACCACTAAAAAGAATTCCACTGCATCAAGAGATGAGAAAGAAGAGGAAAGCATTAGTTAACATAGGAAGAAAAAGGACACAGTAAAGAAGCTTCTAGTTCAACCTTATTCCTGGTGTAATAAATAGTTGTTTTTCCTGCAATGACTGTACCAGTAATTCTACTTGGGGTTCTTTTCCTGTCCCTTTCTGTCCTGGTTAACACCTAAATCTTTCTTTAGGGTTTCTGCTGGCATTCTGCTAGCTTTTCACTCTTCCAATTAAATGCAGATCAAGGATAAACATATGGCAATCTTAAATATTGCTGTGGTTGTGGGATGGAAGGATGGGGACAAAAAAGAGCACAGCTATTTGACCAGAGGACAAGGTTGGCCTATCTAGGATCTAGAAGGCAACCCTTGTATCCCTCATTTTCAAGTTGGTATGATACTGGGAAACAAGCAAGGGCAGAATTCCTGTGTAAATAAAGGAAAGCAGAGAGCCCCCATGACAGTTCAAGAACATGGCGAAGACACTCAGCCATTATTTCTTAGACAGCTACAAGGTATTTGTAGAGCCCTGGCTGCCCCTTCTCGTGGGGCCTTATCAGTCCATAGTCAAACCTAGAAAAGCCTTCTTGCAAAGGTTAGGACTCTTGGGCATAATCTCAGACCTATGATTTCCCAATGAACGTGATACTGTATAAAAAGAAGTGGTTTCAATGTGTAGAACCATACAGAATCAGAGGCAAAGAGATGCTGCCTTATCATAATACTTAAAAAAAACCGACTGGCTGACACCCAAAGGTATTTAAAGAAATGCTCTTTTGAGGACTTAGACCATGGATGGCAAATAAGCTTCCAAGTGCCAAATCCATTCCACTGGTAGTAGCTTTGAGGAGCGCCAATAGGAAAGATCTGAGCTGCAAGCTAAAGTATTGCATAGGTACAAGACAGGATGAGGGGTTGGGTTGGAGGCATATTCGTATTTGTCATCACCGGCTGAAATAGGTTTGGGGGGTGATGGGTGCTGGAGAGGATTAAGTATTGTTCTTTGATGATTCTAATATGAACACTGTTCACAGTGCACATAACCTATATCTAGCCTACCATTCTACTCTGGGTACAGTGCTTTGTCCACACTAAAGTCTAATCCTTCTTTAGTAAAACCATGAGAGAATTCCTGTTAAAAATAAAAATTATGTTGCAAGCTGCTGTTCACTGAGTGTTTACTATCTACCAGGTCCTGTGTACATGTACATTGTTTTTCAAGTGACTCTATAGAGAAGATACTCTTTTTACATAGACAAGGCAATTAGGTTCAGCAGGACTGCTGCACTGCACAACACTGGTAACACCATTTACAGTGAATTGTACTTTGCATTGAGACTGCCTGGTTTAGAGAGGCTGAGGATTGTGTCTAAGATCACACAGGAAATAGTGAGGCTAGAAGAGAACCTAGGTCTGACTCTTCATGTATTACTAAAAGTTTCTGTTAAGTGACCAAGAAGGGAAAGATGCCCTTCAATGTGTTCTGAAGATGACTCTCAGAATGAGATGCATGTTGTTTGAGCCAGGTGAGGGTATCTCTGCAATTAATTCTGAACTTTGCTCATAATCTTATTTCATGTACCAAAGCATTTCATGACAGACCACTGGTCAATTTCATTTTCAAAATCCATTTAAATTTAGCTGACCAGAAACTGTCACAGATGGAGTAGTAAGAGGGAAGTTCATTGACAGAGCCAGGTCTGGAACACAGAGGCTCTCAAATTCCTGGCACAAGGAATAGGCATGCTAATGGCAGGAAGAAGGCAGAATTAAGGTCAGTCCATCCACTAGAACAGTCACTTCTGTGTCCTTGGGGGAGTTACATGTGGAACACCAGAATGTTAATACTACCTGGAGAGCAAATGCAATCTACAATCTGCTTATTTGTTGGTGGCTCAGGCAGCTTTGCTATTATATATTATGATTTCAGGAGCATCTAATACATCTAAATGAAAATAAATGGCACCCAACTCTGCTAATACAAACCTTACCTCTTGAGGAGTCCAGCAGTCTTTTCCTCTTGGTAACATCTCTCCATTTGTTTTGAGCCATAAGCTCTACATAGCTCCTGATAAACCAGGAGGCTGAGCGTGCCTGGCAATGAGTCTTCTATAGGGATGGCTCATAAGGAACATCATTTTATGTCAGATGGTAGATAGTATCAAATACTATGAGTTGCAGGGTTTCTGCTTACCAAGGGCCTATTTGAAGGACTTTTATGGCCTTGTGTTTGTAATGATAATCTTATAGTAAACCAGTAAGTTCATTTTATTCTTGCCCACTCTCTTCACCCCCAGGCTTCACTTTAGATAAGGGGCAAATAAGGACTGTGGATCATTCTAGTAGAAAGATGCAAGAGGAAATCATGTTTGAGCCTTCCCCTCTTTATTCTGGGACTAATCTGGGTCAGAACTAAAGATGGAGAGGAAAAATAAGTGCCAGGATTGTCTTGGCACTGACGAGGGTTCTGCTGCTTCTACTTGGGGGAAGAAGGTACAGTTCTCAGGTCCAAGTACTATATTTCTTACTTTATTTTTCTGACGGGAACAGCAATAAGAAAGACAAATTGACCTGGCAGAGAAAACACAGAAGTTTCACAAAGAAGAGTTTACAATAGTAGGGACCAATTTCTGAGGGAAAGGGAAGTGATACTTCTGTAGATGCTTCCCAGAGATAGAATTACATCCTTGAGATTTTCCTACATATCCCAAGGAAGTCACATGTCTTGTGGTCCTATACCATGCACTGTCACACCCCTAAATTCCTATAGCAGACTGGTATGTTAATAGTCTCTGGAAAGCAGTGAGGCCTATCAAACGTACATCAGTCAGCCACCATGACACAATTACAGGTAACAGGATCTTGGCCAAACCAATGACAAATTAGGCCCAATAGCTATTTCAGAAGAATGGATGCAATTCTATGCTTGATTGGCTATGAAAGTTCTAAGCAGAAGAATAGGGAAATAGCCAAGCTGAGCCAGCAGCTTTGCAGAGAGGAATCCCATTGGAGCTAGCACTGAGCTTGCTTGGGGAAGGCTACTGGTGATTGGAGACTAAGTTACCTTAGGAGTTTAAAAGCTGACAGGGGAGGTGCAACAGCCAGGGGAAAGGAAAAAATGGCAATGTGACAGCATCCCTCATTTTTAATTTACCTTACCTCTACTCACTGTGATGCTATTTTCATTTAAGGGCTGAAATGGAACTTGAGGGCCCTTCTTTCAGGGATTTTTAGAAGTATTTGGCAAGAGCCAGCAATCCAGAAATGAGTGGGTACATAAAAAATTAATATTCACATTGTTCTTACTGCCCATCTCTGAACAGTAATTTGTAGGCCTGAACTTCAAAATAATCCCTTTGCCTAACAGTCAATTCAGGCAGAGGATGGAAGCATGAAGGAGGGAGAGACAAGGAGCTTATATTAGGAGAGTGAAGGGACACTGATGACTTCTTTTTGATCACTGACAGAAACATCATTATCTCCTCTTCTTTAAGTATCCTGGTTGGAAGGGCAGGGAGACCCAGGGAGGTCCCATAGTACGTAGTACATAGTACAGTCCAGGTCTTGGCTATGAACATTTTCCTTGAGAAGTTTCTGAGTTAGCGGCTTTGTGTCTAGCCTCAATATTCCAGTCTTCTTCCTTCTTTCACAAATGCTGTACTTTATGAGGTTTCCCAGAGAAACATAAAGGACAACAGAAGAACAGTCTTCTTCCTCTAGAGTTATAAGGAAATTATTTGGTTTAACAAATACCTGAGTATCTCTTATCTACTGATATATGAAGATCTGTAAGTGTAGTAGGGCTGTTCCGATAAGGTACAAATTATGGAGTGGTAATGAAACATGAGGGTGGAGAAGAATGTAAGGATATGTGTAAACTAAGGTGATAAGACTTTATCCCAGAGGCAGTGGATAAAGTCTTTTTAAACAAATGCACCTACATAGTCAGATTTGTCTCCTAAGATTAAAAATAGGAATATGGACATACATTATCAAAAGTTACTGAAGCAATCATTATATAAAAAGGCTGGAAAAGTTAAACAACAGATGAAACAGAAATCAGACAGTCAAAAGATGTAAAAATCAAACAAGTGCAGTGTAAACACTTAGGAGAGGTAGGACCATACATTCCTCAAATTACCATGAAGTCTTGCAAGCACTACAATCATAATTGAAGGTTCCACAGAATGACACCCATTAATATTGGAACTCTGATAAAGTCCCTTGGTTCCAGATATTAATGATATGATACAATATGGCTAAAACAATGATCACCTTTTAATAACATAATTGGCAAAGTTTGGGGTGAAAAAACCCTTAATTGGGAATACACACATTTGAGTGTTAGTATTTGGTTTTACAACCAGCTATAAAGATAGGCAGGTGCAACTGAGTTTCCTGAACGGTAAGACTGGGATAACATTTTTCTTAGGTTTGCTGTGAGATAAAAATATTGTATACAAAAGCTCTTTTAAACTAGAAAATGCTAGATAAGATTAAGATTTGATTACTAGTAAGGCAGATGATTTTTACGCAAGCCCCCTTTGACAAAAACAGCCTTGAACTAAGAAAACTTGAAGGCTACTGGTAAGTGTTGACTGTCAAAGGTGGGTGGTGGGGATCTGAGAAAAGCCTCAGCCCCCAAAATGGTCTTTAAGATCTCATGGGAAAAGAGAATGGTTTCAAAATCTGACCATAATGTCTTTCCTTTTTCCTATGTGGTGGCTGAGATAATCTAGAATAAAGCGTCTTTGTGTAAGAAAGAAAAATGTAAGCAGAGCAGCCTGCTTGCTTTTCTAGCAGGTCATTACTAGTGGCTTGGTGACGAGTTTCTAGGGGCCATAGCAATTGAAGGAACATTAAAGAGCAGTTTTCACTGGGGTCACCTGGGCCAGACAGATGTCTTGTACCCTCTTGGATTTTCTAGGATTGAACTATCCTCATCACTGATCCACAGTTAAGAGCTATGCTGCTCTTCTTCCTCCCATGGTACTCTTTGGCAGGAAATGGGTCTTATGAACAAATGAGACAGGAGGCTGGGAGAATATTCTACAGTGCAGGAGGGGCTCTGTGGAGAAAAGCCAGAGGGTGTGGGGAGGGCACAGGTTTAGGTCTTTTAACTGCCTTTTCAGATAGGATACAACACAATATGAAGCTAAAATGGAGAGGGACTCACATTTCCCTTTATGCTAAGCTTTCTTTTCCACACACACACTCCTTCACAAAGACACCAGTAACTAGGTTGGGGTCACACTTCCTAAAACACACAGATGTTTTCTCAAAAGGCAACAGTTATATGTAATGCTTTTATGTGTCTTTGGTTTTTAAAAATGCAGGGGTGGGGAAGAGAGAAGAAAACCAGGGCTGTGTCAGGGCTGCTGCTGCTGCTGCTGCCCACAGAATGAGCTCTCCAGGGAGACATTCTCCCTTTTGATGCCAGCAGGAAGAGGGGAAATAGGTCAGGGCAGCAGCCTGAGTTTTTAGCGGGGCCTGTCCAGCATGAAGGCATCATTTTCCAGATATCAGCAAGGAGCAAATTTGGAGGTATCAGAAAGGGCAAAGGGGTCATGAAAAAAAAGACCTTGGAAATGATCACCAAAACCCTGAAGATCCTCCAACCCTCTGGAAATGCACCTTCTATAGCTTGGAACTGAGAAAAGTTAAATTGTGACAATGATATTCAGGAGACTAAGGCATGAAGATCATGCTAGACTAGTTCCAGGCTAGACTGGGCTACATAGTGAGGTCCTATTCAAACAAACATTGTGAAATTGACCTAGTTTACTAATTCTTATAACGCCTTTAAAAGTTCGGGTTTCTCCAACATAGCAGCAATCAAAGTGTTGGGATGTAGTGATGGGTGGGTAGGTATATGCTGACTAGCTGGTCTTCTGGAAGACTGTTGTATTCATAACAAGGACCTCAAAAGGAAGATGGTTAGACTGCTAGACAGAAATATCAAGGGCAGGAAAGAATCACATACCCAGGACCACGTGATAACTGGAGTTTACATTTTTAAGCTGGTTATCTACCCATTAGTTAAAGCTATCTCTTATCACTACTCTGGGGAGATGCTAGCAATGAGCACAATTCCCCATCTGGGAAATCACACCAGATCTTCCTGTCCTTGGCAGTATGGCAGAGAACTGCCTTAAAAAGGCAGCTGTATGGGGGTGGAGGGGTGTCACCAAGCACATGATAGCCAATGGAACATGAACTCATAGCTGATAGTCACAGCTATAGCAACAAATACAACCATCTCTAGTTGTATGGTTCAAAAGCAGCCCAGATTCAAGAGCAGGGAACAGACAGCCAATCCATATTTTCTGGGTGGCCACAAGCCATTTAAGCTCAACTCATCATTCTCTACTCCACAGAAGCTATAAACAAACTTGATGGGTAAATATTTTAGGCTTTGCAGGAGGCCATACAACTTCTGACATAATTATTCAACCCAGCTGCATAGGGTTATAGTGTGACAGCAGCCATAGACAATGCATAAATAATTACTGCTTCAACAAAATTTTATTTGTAAAATCTGGCAGGGGGCCATGTTCACCCACCTCTGCTAAACACCAACTGGATCAAGCTGGGAAGAAATGCTGAGCTCCTTGGATCTAATTTGAGTAAAGGTGAGAGTTAAGTCCTCTAAGAGGTCCTTAGCTGTTCTGAGCTTCAAGGTCACAAAGAAAATCAGGTTTGACATGGTGTCTAACTTCTGGTTCTTTCTCCCGAGTCTGGTTAATACCACCTGTGTACCAGACCAGGGCCTTGAACCAGGTCTATCAGATTATTGACTTAGGAGAACCAAAGCTGATAGGAACCAATGGCTGAAGGGAAGCATGGTGTAGATGATGGAGAAAAGAAGTGGAGCAATGAAAGGGGAGGAGAGACACTCAGGAAAATGGAACTGGTGGCTGGAAATGACAGTAGTTCTGTGCTGACTAAAGTCATTGTAACACACATGTAAGGAAAGCATGATGACAGTCTTAAGACAAAACAAGGGACGCCATCTGAAAATGTAGAGAGGACTTGTTTGACCCCTGCAGGCTCCACATAAGGAATAGTTATGGAAAGACTACAATTGTCTCCTCACTCAAAACAAAAGTGACAAGCAAGACACTTAGAAAACATGATGCCATTTTTCAGTGCCAGGTACTGAAAACCAGCTTCTTTTTCCCTCCTTGGAAAGGGATCTAATGTCAGTGGCCACTACATAGTGCCTCTCTCAATCTAGATCCTTTTCCACTCATTTTATGCTTTCATATATGGGAATACAGCTGGAAGACCAGGCTGCTATAGGATCACACAGAAATCTGCCAAGCCAGCCCAACAGCAGTTCAGCTCCAGCGAGTTCCTAAAGGACAACATGGCACAGTAGAGGCTACCCACCCACTGGCCACCACATAGTTACACTGTCCTTTCACCTATGGACAGGAAGGACTGCTACATCCAGGGGCATCCTTTGCTAGATCTTTGTTAGGGGAGAGGGAGGGCAAAGAACACTGTCCTCCAAGACAACTTACAGAACAGAGGTAAAGGCGCTACACAGGGAAAAGTAAATGAATGATGCTTACACAAAACAAAAACTTCCCTTCATTCCTTCACTGTTCAGAAAACAGCTTTCATACATTCAAGGATAGAAATGCCCATGAGGGTTGGCTGCAACCGGTTCCTTTATCAACAACTTGAATTATTTGTAGTTTAGGTCATATTCCTGTTTCCTTTGCCCAAATAATCATAAAAGCAGCTAAGAAAAGGCAGAGAGGCTCTTTACGGAGAGATTGTCAACATAGGGGTATGATAGAATGGGTCACTATAATCAAGGAAGATAAATATCAACTTTGGACTAGACTAAGGAAGGATCTGCAAACTCATATGGCAAGAGGATCAAAGAAAATGGCAAAAACTTCAACTTTTTCATCAGTAAATATTAAATGTACACAGATAATGGTAAGGTAACAATAACCATGATATACTAAGAGTGCTAAGCTACTCACTCCTTTTCATGGTCAGTATTCTCACTGACCCCTTATACTTTTGATATCATCAGTGGGCCAGAAGTATGACTAGGAAGAAAAGTGGCGGGAAAAACAAGAGTTGAAAAGTAAGGGAAAGAAACTTCAAGAGATAGGAAACAATAGGGAAATGACTCTGTTGAGAAATTTGATGTAGACTAAGTGGTAAGAATGCCTCCAACAAATGTTTTAGGCAATCCAATGAAGGGTTTCCTCCTCTATCCAAAGCATAAGAAACAAGCAAAAATCTAATGGTGCTTCCTCTGTGATGTCTTTAAGTCATAAAGACACGTGAGTGGACTCATCATATTTTTTTTCAACAGTTACTATGCAGTTTATTATCCAAAGGCTTACAAAGTCAGAGGGAAACTCTCTAAATATCTGCCCCCTCTACCTAATCTTTAGGCCACTTAAAAGACTGCAAAAGGTCTTTTAAGACAAGTAGAGTATCTGTATTCTTGAAACACTTCACTGGGTGGAGGTGGTGGTGATGGGGAATAGCTATCTTTAATTGATAATTTTAAGCTACATGGTGTAGTTATAAAATAGGGGAGGGGAAGAGGCACGTCAATATTAAGGATTTCTACTCCACAAGTATACTTCACAAGTAGAAATGCATCTTAACAAAAACAAACAGAGCAATGTAAATCTAAATGATTAAGCCTGATCCTCCTGTATGAATGGCCAGCAAAACAGATGCAATAGCCGACTGTTGCTTACCACACGCTGTGTTCTTACACTAACTATATAGAAGGAGGAGGCAAAGTAACCTACCCCATGTATACCTCAGTCAAGGCCCTGGTCTATATTGTGAGTGGGGAGACATGGGGGGGGGGTGAGGGGAAAAAAAAAGATGTGGTATTACCAAGGTTGTTACAGTTGATGTTTGGAAATGGAACACAGAGCTTTTGAACTGAGAATTCAGATGTTTGCCGAACTTTTTCTTTCACAAAAATAGAAGGCAAGTGCTACAGAAACTCTAAAGAGGTGGCAACCAACAGCAAGAACATTGCTTAGTCAGAAGTCAAAGTGGTGGGTCTCTCAAAGTCAGTCGTCTAACACAAGTCTCTCTCACCTAATGCTGGTGATTCAAATCCAAGTGAGATACTGAAACTCTACACAGGTATCTGTATCACTGAGCATCATGAAGAAGTCCACATCAGTTCTTAAGGATCTGGAGAGATTCACGAGTGAGAGAAAACCTCTAGGAATGCATAATCCTCCAGCTCCGTGTATATTATGAGATTGCAAAAAAGCTGGGCCTTGATAGATTTGATTATAAAAGAAATAGGAACAAAAGCAGGTCCCAATCTTAAGTTCAAGTACAGCACACTTCCCTGCTTTCTTTTCTTGTGTCCACTTAGCAGAATGAATGGCTAGCATACTCCTGGAAAGAAGATGGATCTGTTGACGAAGACTTAAGCAAAATTAGCAGGTAGAACGGTACCATAAGCAGCTGAAGGCCTAACTCCTGCCTGCAAGAGCCAGCCCAACAGGCAGAAACAGAAATACAATTAAATTAAGTCAGAAAACCTGCTACAGAAAATGCAATTACTCAAAGATACAAATAAATGTTCAAAGAAAATTGGCCCCTGACAGGGTTAGTCAAGCTTCTAAATCCAGCTGGAGGCAGGCCGCTCAGGCTAATTCACCAAGGAGGAAGACTGCAAAGCTGTAAGCGCTCTGCATTAGGATCCTGGCTGGTCTGGTCTGATGTGCACTCCACGGTGTGGAGGAGCAATTTGGGGGTGGCTGGACAATGGTGCAGGCTCAAGAAAATAAGATGTGGGGGCAGACACAAGAATGGCTTATGGATGTGCATGGCTGAGCAGTGGAAAAGGTGATAGACTATCTCTGACATGGCAGGAAAGCATCGGACCAAAGGTGCCCTATGTTCTCGCCCCTCCCATACAGGAAGTCACTGGGAGAAGCCCTACCTCTCGCTGCAGCACCAGTTCCTTGGTGAAAAGGGTGGCTTCCTCGCTGAATGGCTCTCCTTCCTGCACCAATCCTGGCAGGTTTCGGGCTCCTCGGGGGCATTCAATGCCTGTGTGTAAGGAAAAAGAAGATTTGTGGTGAAGTGTGCAGGAAGCATATCTCCCCAACATCAACTTGGGATGAATCCTCATCATGCCTCCCTCAATCCTTTAGGCTTTAGCAGTCACTTATATAAATGGCTCTCTCACATTACACTGCTAGTCCAGCCACTGGGCCTCCTGAGAGCCAATGCAGCTGACTCTCGGACATTTTCTTCCTACTATTGGACTTGACATCAAATTCCAAAGTGTTAATTCAGTGTCATTTTCCACTTCAAATGAGGTTCTCCTTCTGACCTTAGGCCATATTTTGGACAGTAGTACCATTGGTTTTCATTCAGAATGAGACAAAACAAACAAACAAACAAAAACAAACCAGAATACTGATGAAGTACTAGGTGTCTGGAGCCACAGAGACCTGGATTCACATCCTAATTCTATCACTTATTAGCTTCATGATCTTGGTCAAATTACTGAACAAAGTCTTAGCTTCCTATTTGTAAGATAAATATAATGTATCTACTTCATAAGGTTGTTGTGTGTACTAGGAGAGATTATGTATGTAAAATTGCAGATTACATATGCAAACTTTTTAGAACAATGTCTGCCAAATGAAAAGGTTCAATATACTTTAGCTATTATTGATATCATCTAGCTATTATTAGTATCATCTGTACCATCATAATTATTATTGCTTTTAGCAATTTCCATGCTTAAAATTTCAAAGCCTTTTCCTTACACTTGGTAGGCAGATGTTCTACCACTTCAGCCATGCCTCTAGCCTTTTTTGACCCTATCACTAGCCTTTCAGGTGCTTAAGGACAGAAACCTATTCTTTACTTGATTATATCTAACGATGTTATTTTGCACAAAATAAGCGCTCACTGGCCAACTTAGAATGGCTTTTCTTTCCTTTGATTCAATCACTCATTTCAAAGATACATTTATCATTAACAGTGGTTATCTGTGACAAATCATGAAATATGTTACATTTTGATATCTGGGTAAAACTTATAAATATTTCAAAGTAATCCACACCATAGCCTTAATTATGAAGCAAAAAGATGAACTGGGATAGAGAGAGACAGGAGAAGAAAACGACAATTTGGGGGAGGATACACTTAGTGTCCTGTCTCTGAACAGTTGGTGGTCCCTCCTGTAACAATACAGATTTAGAGTGTTAGCTACTTTATCCACAAACAGTCAAGCAAAGGGACAATAGATTTGGCCTGGGGAGTCTGGAAGCAGGGCATCTAGGCTACTGCACGCACATCTGCTAGGGTACATTGGGTAGAAGAGGTCCCACCACTGCCCAGGTAGAAAGCATGGGTAAATCTCATGCTTCTGGCATAGAGTCAAGATCACAAAGCCCAGAAGACTGGGAATAGCTTACATGCTGGGTTCTCAGCAGTTGTACAACAGAGCTTTCTCCATGCCCCACCAATGGATCAGATCATGTGAATTGAAATGCAACATGGGGAGGGCAGCAGCAGGAGAGAGACTATAGCAGAGGGAAGCTTGAGCTGGCAGCAGTAACCATTCTCCTACCCTTGCAAAGATGGACCAGTTGAATGGTTGAGATGATCACCAGGGATATCTCATTCCCTGCACTTCAGTATCAGGGAGCTGCAGGGGTAGAACTTATTTTTGTACAAGACAGCAAGAATTGTAGGAGCCAAAGAGCCTGAGATTAACCCCTAAAGGGAGAGATGGAGCTAGAGTAAAACAGAATGAAAGACAGTCCCTGTTTTTCACAACATCAATAGCCAAAAACACTTTTCATTTTGTATCTGCAAACTAAGCAAGAACAGAATTGCCAGGGAGAAAAATAAATGATTCTGCTGAACTATTTTGCCATATAGCCATAGATAAAGCATTGCTACAGAAACAAAAGTAATGCAAGAGCAAGTGTTCAGTCTGTTCTGACCCTTGCAGCAGAACTGGGGTGCTGTGGGGTAGGGTTGAAACAGGGATCAGCCAGGGCAGTATAGTGGATGGGAAGAACTGGGGGAAAGAATTTTCACTAGGAGGGTAGCAAGGATTTCCAAGCCTCATTGGTGGAGTACCTGTTCTACTTTGCTAATACTTTCCTGGTATTCTGAAATAGCAAGAACTAGTTAAGCTGCAGAGATCTCACCAGTGTTCTCTGAATCCTAGAGACCACCAAGAGGCCTCAGTGGGCCCAGGGAGCCCAAATTAAAGCAGAAATACATTCAAAGCATTTTCACCAGATGGTCCTTTGGGCCTGTAAAACCAAACCCACCCACTCTATGTAGATGAAAGGAAAGGAGGTCTTTGTTGTGTCCTGTCCCAACTTTATAGCAGCTGGGCTCCAATGTTTAGAGAGGAAGAAGCTGGAGCAGGGTGTTTCTCAGCCCCTTTTAAAATAGAAATGAAGCATCCATTCACAACCATTTCTGTCAGACACGGGCAAGAGAAGGGAAGGGAATTTTCACTGGACCTGTCTCTCCAGAATAAACCCTGATCAAATAACTCTGATCAAGGGACAAGAGAGTTATAAGTAGGATACGAAACAAGAAGCAGGAAAGATTTTATGACATTTGCATGTCTGAGTGTTCTAAAGCTGCTGAGCTCAGTTATACCTGCAGATAAATGATAGTGTAGATGAGGAGTTTTCTGACTTTTAATTTTTATTATGAACCATACATATGCATTTACACAAGCATATACACCTATATAGAACAAAACTTCCAAAGTAACAATGGTTAATATTGATTAAATGTGTTATATAATAGTCTCTCTTCCATTTTATTTCATTAAAGAAAAAAATCAAGATGATTTTGACACTGATATTGATTGAAGACTCAAGTGGGGTGCAATATATAGTTTGAGAAACACTACAAAGATTGAGGCGCAAAGGCAGGAGGTTGGAAGGATGGGCAGAGCCCTGTGGCCTTGTTGCAGTGTTCAAAAGCTGCTCTGTCTGGGGTGTATCAGGCTCCAGACTTGCTTTGTGTCATAAGGGACCAAGAAACAGCAAGAATACACTGTCCACTGACAGAGAGGAGACCATGCAAATAAATGTTAGTATCCTAACACCAGGGAGGCAGTCATTGCTCCCTGTGTATAAGCCAATGTGTACTGCAGCAAGAACCATTCTGTGTCCCCTCTGCCCAGGATGCAGGGAACAAGTCAGTCCAGGATACACACACGACACCTTCCCTCAAATAAGGCCTGCACTGCTATTAGCCTGGCTGTGCTGCTGTTTTACCAATAAAATGGACTTAGAACTCTGACACAGATAAAGAAAGTGGACAGAGAGGAAGAAAGCTGGGTTCTCAGAAAGCAAACCAAAGCTGTTGCAGTCAGGTTAGGCAGGCTGACAGGCAGTGACGGGGAGTTCCCAAACCATGGAGGGTCTTGCACTGAAAATTGCAAGTGAGACTTCGGTGGAGTTCCAGAAGCTCTCCCCAGCCAGTGAGGAAGTGACTGTAATTCTGGACTGCATATTACCACCAATAGCTGTCTTTTCTGATAATGTGCTGGAGTGGTGCTGCCTCCTGATAAGGACAAACCAACTCAGCTGTGTGCCCAAAGCTTACAGGTGCAGGATAAGTGCATGGCTTACCCTTGATGCTGACAAGCCACTCAAACACAAGTATTTTAATTAATAAAAATTATTACACCTAAAAAAGTCCTAAGCATTCTTGAGCATTTTTCATGTCTTTTATAAGCTATGTGAGAATCAAACAGAAATCCTGGAAATAAAAAGTCCCTTTAGTCAAACAGAAAACACTGTGGAAGGTCACTCCAGCAGACTACAGCAAGAGGAAGACAGAATCTCAGAGCAAGAAGATACATTAGAAATTAAAGATAAAATAGAAGAACTTTTAATCAAACAACCCAAGGGCTGTGACAGGTATATATGCAAGAACTCAGCAAATCCATCAAAAGACCAAACCTGAGAATCATGGGCATTGAAGAACAAGAGGTGTAAGCCAAAGGGATACATAATGTACTCAATAAAACACTAACAGAAAATCTCCCAAACCTCGAGAAAGATTTGCACATTCAGTCCAGGAAGCCTCCAGGACAACAAACAGACTTGACCAAAACAGAACCTTCCATGATATATTATCATTATACAACTAGCACAGAGAACAGAGAAAGAATACTGAAGCCTCTAAGAGGGTAAAAACAAATAACTTATGAAGGCAAACCCATCAAAATAACAGATGTCTGAACACAAACCTTAAAAGCAAGAAGGGCATAGAGTGAGGTATTCCAGGCATGAATGAGAATAATTTCAGCCCTAGGATACTCTCCTGAGCAAAACTATCATTCAACATTGATGGAGGAATAAAAGTCTTCTGTGAGTGCATATATTAAAAGAACAGAAAGATCTCAAATGACCTAATGTTACATCTCAAATTCCTAGAAAAACAAGAACAAGCAAAACACAAAACAAGCAGGGGAGAAATAATAAAAATAAGGGCCCAAAATTAATGAAATGCAGACCAAAAAAAACCAAAACAACAACAAAAACCATACAATCAGCAAAACAAAAAGCTGGTTCTTTGACAAACATAAACAAGATTGACAAGCCCCTGGTAAATCTGACTAAAATAAGGAGGGAAAACACCCAAATAATAAAACCAACACTCCTTAAACTTTTCCACAAAATAGAAAGGGAAGGAACACTGCCTAACTCATTCTATGAAGCCAGCCTTACACTCATCCCAAAACTGGATAAAGACACATCCAAAAAGTAGAATAATAGGCCAATCTCCTTAATGAATATCAATGCAAAAGTCCTTGATAAAATAATGGCAAACTGAATCCAACAACACATCAGAAAGATCATTAACCATGACCAAGTTGGCTTCATCCCAGGGATGGTTCAACATATGCAAGTCATTAAATGTAATACAGCACATTAATAGAAGCAAAAACAAAAACCACTTGATGATCTCAATAGATGCAGAAAAAGCCTTTGAAAAGATTTGACTTCATTTCATGATAAAAGCTCTAAGGAAACTAGGAATAGAAG